TCTTATCCCTAAGTTTTCTTTACTCCATGCTTTTTTGAATTTTTAACCATTCTACTTTCTAACTTGCAAGAATAAATCAATATTATAACCATCCAAGTGAAAAGGAAATAATATTGTATTTAAGATGGCAGATTATTATTGGACAGTCATTATAGACTAATAGACAAAATTACCAGCAATGAATTGAAAACAACAAAGTCCATAGAAGACCACCCTAAAAGCATAAGATTTCTAAATATCCATATATAATCCCAAAATTCCTATGTTGGGAACCGGAACAACAATTCAACATGGGTCTCCATCCATGTTCCTTGATCCTTATCCTTATATGCTTCCCTCACCCAGTAGATCTCCTAAGAAAGTTGAAAAAGTTTAAGTTTATTGGGCAGCACCAGCTGGAATCATAAAGTCTACTTTAATACAGAAAATCTTTATTAAATTCTAGTCATGGTTAAACGAAGGGCAAGACTTTAACTCTCCTTTTAGTTCAAACAATTTGGTCTCACAGTAAGCCTAGTGCAACAAGACAAAATAGGTTAAAAACCATTTGACCGTCCACGTGGTGTGCTGTCCACGTGGTGAGCTAAGAATTTAACATGCACTGACTCTTAAGTTATCAGCTTGAATGCATGTCTGACACACGCATAGCTGTTGTGCACGTATGATATACAACTCCTCACTTGAAGACAAACGAGCAGGAGAATCCAGATACCATGACCCCACAACTTGCTTCTCCCTACGAGATCAAGCGATGGGTCACGAACCAGCAAATCATGACCATCAGAAACACTTGATAAAAACATTGTTTCGATCAAAATATATGTCTAAAATAGAAAGAGAATTAAACAAAAAGGTGTGATGACATATTTGGTTTTAGCACTAAGCTACTATAAATTGCAAATTACAGGAAAGATTTTTCAACGAGCCTCTGGTGAACTTCCGAGACATGCCATCTCCATGTTGATTTTCATTTAATCGTAACCAATCATGTGGTTACTTTAACAAATTTTCTTTTTTCACAAAAATTATAATTTTTTTTGTAAAGATAGCTATTAATTTCGCATCTTCGTCGCTTCAGGGTAAGATTATCGTTATTTTGGTTTTTATCATTTTATATTTGGAAACCAAACGGACTGCAAATCCATGAATTAGTGATCTGGTAAACAAGTCATCAAATTGCTAAAAATCTCTTAACCGTCTGATCACTGGACTATAGTTCAACATGCTGAGGTCAAACTATTCTTAAAGCGGTCATTTCTCCATCAGACGTATCAGATTCACAATTTACCATATCAAACTTTAAACAAAATGAAATCAACACATGAAGAATTGACTATTACTATTATTTTTACCTTGGTTGTAAAAACGACTCGTTCTGATGAGTGTAAGCCAGTTGAGCATTGTCTCCGACTTGTACGGACACGGCGGAGGAGTTTGCCTGGAGGAAACGATTGACGAGCGTTGTCGACGTGGTCTTCGGCGACGGAGTCCGGCTTCCGGCCGCCACTAACTCCTCCGGAGGCGACACGATCGCGCTGCTAAATACTCCCAACATTTTAAGAAGAAATTTTCTTTTCTCTCAGTTTCTCACCGAAGAAAACTCTCTCTCTCACAAGAAAGCTCTTATCTCTTTAATTAATTATGAGATAAAAGTCAGTAGCCCTAGCTAGAAAGTTCAGAGCTCGGACACGGGACTCTGAATCAAGGAGAATGCATTTCCATTTATAGGAAAACAAGCGAGGGTTTTTTTGTCATTCAGGTAGAGATTTTTTTTAATTTTAATTTTTCTTTTAATAGTCCAATGAAAGGAAAGAAATATGTGGAACCCACAGGTGGGCGATGATTCCTGAGCGTTGACGGTGATGTGTACTGAACATGGGGCCCGCTGGTGGGGTTGTCGTATTGAAGGCATGATCAAGTGGTAAGCCGCCTCTGTAGCTTCGAAAGATAATTTATCCGGTGTGGTGGCGATCATGGGATTAATGATTTTCGACAGGGTATGATCGGATAAGATCCTTTAATTAGTTGATTATTGTATAAGATTCTCATATGAGGTCACTTCCTATGACGTGGCGGAATTAGATTGGTGTTAACTTTGTTTCATTTTCAATTGAGTTTTAGGGTGCATTTGTTTCACAATTTTCCCCAATCCTATATACGGATTTATTTATTTTATTCAACTATTTTAAACCCTTAAGTTTATTAATTTAACTAAACACCCTCAATTTTTTTTAAAAATTAACAAAAACACCCCACCAACCCACATTTATCAGATTCCGGCCACCACTGTCATAAGATGGTCAGAATCTGGTATAATAACGCACTACCAATTAGATTTGGCTGGTAATGCGTCGATATAGCCTTTTTCGACCAGATCCACCATAAATATAGCTGGAAAATGCCAGATTTTTTGCTATAGCGAGTCATCAAAGACAATCATATCTTTGGTCGTTGACCAAATCTGGCCAGATCCAATGTGGATCTGGCCGAAAAAGGCTATATCGGTGCACGACCAGTCAGATCCAACCATTTGTGAGATGATATGGCGACTCCGACCACCCTACGGCGGTGGTGGCCGGCTGTCGGTATTTAATGGGTAGGTGGGGGTGTTTTTGTTAATTTTTAATATTTTATTACATAGATGTTTAGTAAATTAACAAACCTATGAGGTATTTTTATTAATTTTTAAATCATACCTCGTAATAGCCACCCAATTTTACTCTTTTTTTTTTTCAAAATATTATTTTAAAAAATATCAGAATAATGAACCAAACGCATCCTTAGTGTTTTATGCAATGTCAATGATAAGGTTTTTTTTTTTTTTTTTTAAGCTAGTTTATGCACACATCGCCAATTTTGGAGGTTCATTAAACATTATATAAACCTAATGAACAAATAACTTAAGGTACCACATGGTTAAAGCATGTTTACTTTAACTGAGGAATACTCATATAATGCTTCTTATAATAACTTTTAAATAAAAAATTAAAAAGTAATATGATAAATCACAAAGATACGTCACTTAAATTTGCATCAAAGTATTACTCTTTTGCACTATTTTAAGCATTTTAAATTTTTCATAGCAAATTAAAGTTTATCAAAATAATATGAGTAGTCTAAGATAAGATATGTACATAATATGAATTAAAACTTAAATGAGTAAAGAAATTGTAAGCTTAAACCTTTTTAAGTTTAATTAGTGGATTCGAACTTTNGGGAGAATGAGATTTCTTCTGGGGCAGACCCCCATGCTTCTATATAGAATAAAATATAAAGCAAATAATTGCATAGGCAGAAACTTGCGTTGTGTCATCAAAGCCTGCAGTGCTGTCAATTTGTCTGGAAAATTCCCTTGTGAGACTTGTATTTTGTTCTCAAGAGGCTTGGAAATTCAGCTGGAGAGACAAATAAATTTCAGATTCTTTCGCATACAGTTAGGGGCTGTTCAATAGCAGTTAACCGAACCGGTTAACCGTTTTTCTAAACAGAATTGGTTTTTCGGTTTAAGAAAATTTCTGAACCAAAACTGAACTGGTTTGGGGGAAAAGCGGTTAACCGGTTTTCCCCTTTTTTATTGGATTTTTTTTTTTTTTAAATTTTTACCTAAATTAAATTATAAACATAAGCAGTATGTATCCAAAAAAAAATTAAACATTCATAAATATTAAAAATTAATTGTAACATCATTTAATATAATTATCGAGTAAACTATTTTTTCCCACTGAAGGTTTGCTTTAATGACACTTTTTATCCAAAATGTTTCAAAATACTACTTTCTCACTCAAAGTTAATATTTCGTTCACTGATTTAAAACTAGATAGGAGGGCAACCCATTCTGTTGTCTGGGTCACGGGTCAACCGGTTGGATTAGCTGGTTGGACCGACAACGTCAACAATAATTTTATTTTTTAAAAATTACATGTTAATCCCTTAAATTTCAGTTATTACACAAAAATACCCCTAAAATTTTGAAATTAGTCCCTAAAATTTTATTTATTTCAAAAATACCCCAAAATTACCAATTAATCCCTAAACTTTTGACATATCTCCAAAACACCCCTAGAAATTACAAGTAGTCCCTATAAATTTGAAATATTACAAAAAAACTCCTAAAACCTAAACTGGACCAAAGAAGTTGCCAGGTCCAGTTAGACCGGTCCGACCGGCGAGTCCAGTCTGGGTTTTAAAACAAAGATTTCGTTACTATCCAAAGTTGATTCTGATCGATCCCGGCAACGAAAATTCTCTCCATCACCGCCATTTGAACCTCCAATCTCCTCTCTACAAAACCCCTCTCACTCCTACACCTGATTTCTCGTCAATTGTCATCTACCGCAAAGTTAGGTTGATTTCAGTTGATTCCAACGATAAATATTCAATCGGTCACCACCATTATATCCACCAGCCTCTACTTTACAAAACTTTTTTTATCCTAACTCCTGATAACTTGCCAAACGTCGGATGAAAAAGTGAAATGTATTTTGAGCATTAACGGAATATAAACTTTGAGTGGAAAAGAGATATTTTGAAACTTTTTAGGTGAGAAAGTGTCATTAAGGCAAACCTTGGGTGGAAAAAACGCTTCCTCTATAATTATCTGTATAATAACACAATATTTGAGATGTAAAATTTAAGATAAATTTTACAATGAATAATATTATAGTTCATTTATTGCATGTTCTTAAAGGATTGTAGCTCTTGTTTTTATCTTTTATCAACAATTTGGGTCACGCTTATCATTAACAATTTATTTTTGTAGAATCTTTCTTTCTTTTTTTCTTCTCTTCTTTGCTGAAAGAAGATACCAAAAAGAGATTCTAAATATTGGTGTCTGTCTTATTTCAATAGAAAATCTATCAAATACACAAAATAAAATAAAATAAGCTTTTTTCCTCCGTCTATAATCGGCTTATGGCTTAGGATTATTTTTACCACCTTTCTTTTTATTGGAATATTTCAGGGACTTGAGAAATTGGAAGAACCAGAAGCAATAGGTGATGTTTGCACAGACCACCATAACTGTTTTATTAAAAATTAGCTAAAAGTCCTCAAACAAACTTTTATTGAACTTCGAGTACAAACCATAGCTGTACATTACATGGGATAAAAGCTAGGGCAAAGTTTTTGATACAAAAGCAAGTACTGAGAATTAAAGAGCTAGCTAAAACGAAGTTGAGTTTACTTCTCGCAAGCATTTTCTTACTTTGTTCATTTTACTGGAGTCATTTAGGTATTCACATGGACCCTCGTTCACGCCTTTAATCCACAACCACATGAATTTCCTCAGATGGATTTTGACATTTTAGTATTAAGTAGGGATGAAACATCTTCTACTCTGTGGCTGCAAGAACCGCTGGCCCTTCCACCTGAAATTTCATCCCACCAAATTGACAAAAATCAGTGTTCAATTCAATGACTTCATAATATCTGGCTGAGATGAGCTGCTTGATAGCTGGTCGAAATGGGACTCTTGAAGTTGATGGTGACCAAAAAAAAGAAAACAATCATGCCTAGAAAGATAATTCTAATGTTTCCTTTCTCAATTTGTGCTTTACATCTTGATGTTGTAATTTAGGGTTCTTCTAAAATGAAAGAAAAGATTCCATTATACCTTAAATGTGGCACCCCAGAACTCTTCCTCTTCAGCAGGAACTGCAGTGATCTTACTCTTTGGATTCTCATAGCTTCTAAGTCCTCCAACTGTGGTGGAGTAGAAACAACCTGTAAAATCCAGTGGACCTCGTCAATAAAGAAAGTAAAGTAAAAGGAAATAAGTGCCATCTTTAACTACCATCATGTCAAAGTTAATTTTACTAAATTAATGCACAAGCGTACAAAATTAATGGTCTGAAAAAAAGGTAAGGATAGAGTAGACAATGACAACTTTATCCTATGTTCGTTCTATTTGGTCTCAAAAGAATTGCCAGTCACATGCAATCAATAGTTGCTGAAATAGTTTACCAAGTTTTTCAATGCTAAAAATATACGAATATAAGGATATAGCCAGCTGACCCACCTTGAGGGAAAGACGCAAGTGACTTGCCACAAGCACCTTTAAGCAAGTCAGCATCATCAGCAAAAGCAACGTATCCATCAGCAGTGATTCCCCAATAGAGAGGAACCTTGCCATATTGGTCCTGTAACAAACATTTTACCAACCCAAATTTTGTCAGTCACCGAGCCAACCAAAGGAATTATCTTCAACAAGGTACTTGGTGGGTGTGAAATACATACTGAAGCCACAAACAAGGAGGAGGTAGACTTGTCAAAGACAATGAAAGCAAAATTCCCACTCAGGTGACCAACAACATGGTTGGCAGGGTAGGGTGCCCGATCACGAAGAGCCTTGTAAGCCTCAATGACCAAGATCACCTCATTTGCTGATTTTGCAAGCCCATATTGCTGCCTGAGACTTCCCAAGTTGTCAAGTGCTCCCTCAAACAAGCAGAAGATCTCGTCCTTAACCGCAAATGATCTACCATTCATAGCATCCAGGAAAGTTAGTTGAAGATGAGGTACAAATATGTTCTTCAATACATAAATGGGTAAACTGAGTGTTCTAGTAGTCACAAATTTGGCCTCTCAGCACCTTATAGAAACTACGTGGTCCCAACAACCACTAAATAAAAGAGTGGGAATTTTTTTACTTAAAGAAAAGTTGATACTCTTTCTGTCCCAATCTGTGGGACGACCAATATACAAAAATAATGCCAACAATATTATTTTTATGTATTCTCTAGATCATTCTTATCCCTAAGTTTTCTTTACTCCATGCTTTTTTGAATTTTTAACCATTCTACTTTCTAACTTGCAAGAATAAATCAATATTATAACCATCCAAGTGAAAAGGAAATAATATTGTATTTAAGATGGCAGATTATTATTGGACAGTCATTATAGACTAATAGACAAAATTACCAGCAATGAATTGAAAACAACAAAGTCCATAGAAGACCACCCTAAAAGCATAAGATTTCTAAATATCCATATATAATCCCAAAATTCCTATGTTGGGAACCGGAACAACAATTCAACATGGGTCTCCATCCATGTTCCTTGATCCTTATCCTTATATGCTTCCCTCACCCAGTAGATCTCCTAAGAAAGTTGAAAAAGTTTAAGTTTATTGGGCAGCACCAGCTGGAATCATAAAGTCTACTTTAATACAGAAAATCTTTATTAAATTCTAGTCATGGTTAAACGAAGGGCAAGACTTTAACTCTCCTTTTAGTTCAAACAATTTGGTCTCACAGTAAGACTAGTGCAACAAGACAAAATAGGTTAAAAACCATTTGACCGTCCACGTGGTGTGCTGTCCACGTGGTGAGCTAAGAATTTAACATGCACTGACTCTTAAGTTATCAGCTTGAATGCATGTCTGACACACGCATAGCTGTTGTGCACGTATGATATACAACTCCTCACTTGAAGACAAACGAGCAGGAGAATCCAGATACCATGACCCCACAACTTGCTTCTCCCTACGAGATCAAGCGATGGGTCACGAACCAGCAAATCATGACCATCAGAAACACTTGATAAAAACATTGTTTCGATCAAAATATATGTCTAAAATAGAAAGAGAATTAAACAAAAAGGTGTGATGACATATTTGGTTTTAGCACTAAGCTACTATAAATTGCAAATTACAGGAAAGATTTTTCAACGAGCCTCTGGTGAACTTCCGAGACATGCCATCTCCATGTTGATTTTCATTTAATCGTAACCAATCATGTGGTTACTTTAACAAATTTTCTTTTTTCACAAAAATTATAATTTTTTTTGTAAAGATAGCTATTAATTTCGCATCTTCGTCGCTTCAGGGTAAGATTATCGTTATTTTGGTTTTTATCATTTTATATTTGGAAACCAAACGGACTGCAAATCCATGAATTAGTGATCTGGTAAACAAGTCATCAAATTGCTAAAAATCTCTTAACCGTCTGATCACTGGACTATAGTTCAACATGCTGAGGTCAAACTATTCTTAAAGCGGTCATTTCTCCATCAGACGTATCAGATTCACAATTTACCATATCAAACTTTAAACAAAATGAAATCAACACATGAAGAATTGACTATTACTATTATTTTTACCTTGGTTGTAAAAACGACTCGTTCTGATGAGTGTAAGCCAGTTGAGCATTGTCTCCGACTTGTACGGACACGGCGGAGGAGTTTGCCTGGAGGAAACGATTGACGAGCGTTGTCGACGTGGTCTTCGGCGACGGAGTCCGGCTTCCGGCCGCCACTAACTCCTCCGGAGGCGACACGATCGCGCTGCTAAATACTCCCAACATTTTAAGAAGAAATTTTCTTTTCTCTCAGTTTCTCACCGAAGAAAACTCTCTCTCTCACAAGAAAGCTCTTATCTCTTTAATTAATTATGAGATAAAAGTCAGTAGCCCTAGCTAGAAAGTTCAGAGCTCGGACACGGGACTCTGAATCAAGGAGAATGCATTTCCATTTATAGGAAAACAAGCGAGGGTTTTTTTGTCATTCAGGTAGAGATTTTTTTTAATTTTAATTTTTCTTTTAATAGTCCAATGAAAGGAAAGAAATATGTGGAACCCACAGGTGGGCGATGATTCCTGAGCGTTGACGGTGATGTGTACTGAACATGGGGCCCGCTGGTGGGGTTGTCGTATTGAAGGCATGATCAAGTGGTAAGCCGCCTCTGTAGCTTCGAAAGATAATTTATCCGGTGTGGTGGCGATCATGGGATTAATGATTTTCGACAGGGTATGATCGGATAAGATCCTTTAATTAGTTGATTATTGTATAAGATTCTCATATGAGGTCACTTCCTATGACGTGGCGGAATTAGATTGGTGTTAACTTTGTTTCATTTTCAAATGAGTTTTAGGCTGCATTTATTTCACAATTTCCCAAACCCTATCCAAAATATACATTTATTTCCTCATTCTCAAAATATTATTCTATTTTATCCAACAATTTTTAAACCCCTAAGTTTATTAATTTGACTAAACACCCTAATTTTTTTTTAGAAATTAACAAAAATATCCCACCAACCCACATTTACCAGATTTCGATTACCACCGTCATAAGGTGACCGAAATCTAGTATAATGGCGCACTACCGATTAGATTTGGCTAGTAGTGTGCCGATATAAAATTCTCTGATCAGATCCACTATAGATCTAGCTGGAAAATATCAGATCTTTGATTGTAACCAGTCGTCAATGACGACCATATATTTGGTCGTCATTGACTACCAAACGCGGTCAGATCTAATTGTGGATCTGGCCGAAAAAGGTCATATCGACGCACAACCAACCAGATCTAAACAGTCGTGCATCGATATGGCAACTCCGACCACCCTCCGACGATGGTGGCTAAAATCTAGTATAATGACGCACTACCGATTAGATTTGGCCAGTAGTGCGCCAATATAAAATTTTCCGATCAGATCCACCGTAGATCTGGCTGGAAAATGTCAGATCTTTGGTTGTAACCAGTCGTCAATGACGACCATATATTTGGTCGTCATTGACTACCAAATGCGGCCAGATCTAACCGTGGATCTGGCCGAAAAAGGTCATATCGGCACACAACTAGCCAGATCTATCCAGTCGTGCATCGATATGGCGACTCTGACCACCCTCCGACGATGGTGGCCGACTATCGGTATTTAATGGGTGGGTGGGTGGGGTTTTTTTTTAATTTTTAATGTTTTATTATAGGGGTGTTTAGTAAATTAACAAACTTATTTTTGTCAATTTTTAAATCCTATCTCGTAATAATTACCCAAATTTACTCTTTTTTTAAATATTATTTTAAAAAATATCAATAATTAACTAAACGCATCCCTAGGCAATAGTCAATGATAAGTTTTTATTTTTTAAAGCTAGTTTATGCACACATCACAAATTTTGGAGCTCCTTTAAATATTATATAAACCTTAAGGTGCCACATGGTTAAAGCATGTTTACTTTAACTGAGGAATACTCATATAATGCTTCTTATAATAACTTTTAAATAAAAAATTAAAAAGTAATATGATTAATCACAAAAATACGTTACTTAAATTTGCATCAAAGTATTTCTCTTTTGCACCTATTTTAAGCATTTTAAATTTTTCATAGCAAATTAAAGTTTATCAAAATAATATGAGTAGTCTAAGATAAGATATGTACATAATATGAATTAAAACTTGAATAAGTAAAGAAATTGTAACCTTAAACCTTTTTAAGTTTAATTAGTGGATTCGAACTTTTATATTTAAAATAAACACAAAGTTATAATAATAAATTTCTTTTAATTTCATTCCATCATTAAATTTAAGATTGATGAGGTGTCAAATCAAGATCTAAAATGAATCAAGAGCAATTGTAATGAAAGGGCACCAACATGGAGTGTTGTCAATTACGTATCACTTATGCAACTGTTTAAATAGATTTTAACATATTCTCAGTTTGTAAAGATAAAGTTCAATTATTCTCGTTNTCCTCCGGAGGCGACACGATCGCGCTGCTAAATACTCCCAACATTTTAAGAAGAAATTTTCTTTTCTCTCAGTTTCTCACCGAAGAAAACTCTCTCTCTCACAAGAAAGCTCTTATCTCTTTAATTAATTATGAGATAAAAGTCAGTAGCCCTAGCTAGAAAGTTCAGAGCTCGGACACGGGACTCTGAATCAAGGAGAATGCATTTCCATTTATAGGAAAACAAGCGAGGGTTTTTTTGTCATTCAGGTAGAGATTTTTTTTAATTTTAATTTTTCTTTTAATAGTCCAATGAAAGGAAAGAAATATGTGGAACCCACAGGTGGGCGATGATTCCTGAGCGTTGACGGTGATGTGTACTGAACATGGGGCCCGCTGGTGGGGTTGTCGTATTGAAGGCATGATCAAGTGGTAAGCCGCCTCTGTAGCTTCGAAAGATAATTTATCCGGTGTGGTGGCGATCATGGGATTAATGATTTTCGACAGGGTATGATCGGATAAGATCCTTTAATTAGTTGATTATTGTATAAGATTCTCATATGAGGTCACTTCCTATGACGTGGCGGAATTAGATTGGTGTTAACTTTGTTTCATTTTCAATTGAGTTTTAGGGTGCATTTGTTTCACAATTTTCCCCAATCCTATATACGGATTTATTTATTTTATTCAACTATTTTAAACCCTTAAGTTTATTAATTTAACTAAACACCCTCAATTTTTTTTAAAAATTAACAAAAACACCCCACCAACCCACATTTATCAGATTCCGGCCACCACTGTCATAAGATGGTCAGAATCTGGTATAATAACGCACTACCAATTAGATTTGGCTGGTAATGCGTCGATATAGCCTTTTTCGACCAGATCCACCATAAATATAGCTGGAAAATGCCAGATTTTTTGCTATAGCGAGTCATCAAAGACAATCATATCTTTGGTCGTTGACCAAATCTGGCCAGATCCAATGTGGATCTGGCCGAAAAAGGCTATATCGGTGCACGACCAGTCAGATCCAACCATTTGTGAGATGATATGGCGACTCCGACCACCCTACGGCGGTGGTGGCCGGCTGTCGGTATTTAATGGGTAGGTGGGGGTGTTTTTGTTAATTTTTAATATTTTATTACATAGATGTTTAGTAAATTAACAAACCTATGAGGTATTTTTATTAATTTTTAAATCATACCTCGTAATAGCCACCCAATTTTACTCTTTTTTTTTTTCAAAATATTATTTTAAAAAATATCAGAATAATGAACCAAACGCATCCTTAGTGTTTTATGCAATGTCAATGATAAGGTTTTTTTTTTTTTTTTTTAAGCTAGTTTATGCACACATCGCCAATTTTGGAGGTTCATTAAACATTATATAAACCTAATGAACAAATAACTTAAGGTACCACATGGTTAAAGCATGTTTACTTTAACTAAGGAATACTCATATAATGCTTCTTATACTAACTTTTAAATAAAAAATTAAAAAGTAATATGATAAATCACAAAGATACGTCACTTAAATTTGCATCAAAGTATTACTCTTTTGCACTATTTTAAGCATTTTAAATTTTTCATAGCAAATTAAAGTTTATCAAAATAATATGAGTAGTCTAAGATAAGATATGTACATAATATGAATTAAAACTTAAATGAGTAAAGAAATTGTAAGCTTAAACCTTTTTAAGTTTAATTAGTGGATTCGAACTTTTATATTTAAAATAAACACAAAGTTATAATAATAAATTTCTTTTAATTTCATTCATCATTAAATTTAAGATTGATGAGGTGTCAAATCAAGATCTGAAATGAATCAAGTGCAATTGTAATCAAAGGGCACCAACATGGAGTGTTGTCAATTACGTATCACTTATGCAACTATTAAAATAGAATTTACCATATTCTCAGTTTGTAAAGATAAAGTTCAATTATTCTCATTCATTATGGGTACAAAATCTCAAGCAACTAGTCACTCTTTCTGTCTCACAAACACTTTTTTTTTTTATTTTTTTTTGGGTAATACGTGACTCTCAAGACCCATTAAACACCTTACAACCCCAAAGTGATTTGAATACAGGAAATCAATGAAATAAGTAAACTTTTTTTACCACTAAGACCAACACTTTAATTTTTTTTATCTAATCTATATATTTAATTTCATAAAATTGAGCTTCAGCATACACAAATACATACGGGTCCAAGTTTATAACATACAAATTACAAAACCATGGATGCACCCTAAGATTCCTGTGTTCTGATTGCAACTTGAACCTTAATAAATGTAAAATTTTTGTATATTAAATTAGCAGACTGCAGTTTCCACATGCTAGGACTAATTATATATTTGGACAATTATATATCCTAAGTGCTCTTCCTAGTCACACCCAGACCAAAGGAATATTATTTATCTTTCACTTTATAATATATTTTTTAAAGGGAATTTTTATGTGCAGGAATCTAAGATTCTATTTAACATGGTTGTTAATTTGGAATATATCGTCAATATAACAATTAATTTACTATTACGTTGCTTCCTATGAATCTCTTGCGCTTGGACTTACCCAAAAGTGTTTAAAACCATTTATAAAAATTACATATTTGAATAGATAAATAAAATATTTTATAAGAATAAGCTTGATTGATTTAGCTTATGGGAGACGGTATTAAATTAATTATTGAGAGGGAAGCTTTTATGTAATGTGGTATACTCCAAAGGAGAAATCTATCATGATCCAGATGCTGGGCCCCTCAACTGAACGGTCAAGGCACAACTAGTTGGTGGTGATGATGTGAAAGAATGGATAAGGTGGGATTGTTTGCTTCCGGAAAGGTAGGTTACGGTTCATCGGGAAGTCTATCATAGATGACGATGATGCGGCCATGTGGGTGAGGTTGAAATTTTTCTCCGGTCCAATCCAAGTGGTAAAATTTTGAACACCCCCGTACCTCAAAAAAGAAAAATAGAGTTAAAAAATAATTAATAAAAGAGTAAAATAAT